GAGAGGGACAGCTACAGGCAACAGTTGGACGCGCAAACGAAACCGATAATCATTTCCATTCTCGAGCGCTCGTACACAAGACGAGACAACTTCACGCGGATTGGTCTAATTTGTTGCAAAGAGGAGCAAAAAGGTGTGGACGGAATTGGGAAACGGGGACGGGGGAATTAAGTACAAAAGTATATCCTCGCGTTTAGAGCGATGGATTGCGTAATAATAATAAATCTAACATGATCATCTTGCGATAATATCTAATATCATCTTGCTGATTCTCTAAGGACATTTTCTCACTGAAACACTCTCTCTCTCTCCGACTCATACACACGGTAAATATCATTTTTTCGAAGAAAAGCGTCTCTCTTTTTGTTTTTCTCTAAATATAATACATGATCCGGTGGAAAGAAAGAACCAAGCTGGAAAGAAACGCGCGTAACGTCGTCTTCCGGCGATTGCGAAGCGGACGACAAATTAATTCACGCGAGTCAGACTGACAATTTGGCTACGGAACGGCCCGTCGAGACGACAGTGCTTACTGCGGAAGTCCATGTGTAACATTTCCCGACACTACGTTTCAGCAAAAAAAAAAAAAAAACAAAAACTCGAATGTAGAAATCGTATAGCTACATTATTGATAGAGTATATGTATACACACATATATATATATATATAAATATATCTTTTTCTCTCCTCCTCCTTCTATATGTACACGTCCCTCCGAGTCGTGTAGAAAAATAGGCTTGTAGAAAAAGTAGGATCGAGCGAACGTGTAAAAACAAGACTCGCGCATCTACAGCCACTCATATATATGGAATATTAAGTGCATACGACGAAAGATAAGATTCTTACCTTTCCTTTGAAGGAAAATTCGAAGCAACGATTTGGTATCCAGCAGGGCCCTGGCCAGATTATTATCATTGTTGATAGACAGCAGATGTCCATCCGGATCAGTGTACTAAATGAGGAAGTTCAGATCAGGCCCAATTTCGTGCCGTTCTGTCAACAGTTTGCTAAAATCCTCGTAACTCATAGGCTCATTACGATTGATGGAAAACCTGATGAAGTCGGCATCGAACTGCAACGCACAACAATGCGGATGATGCATACAATCCAGAACGTTATCGGCTATCAATCGACGAAGCCAGATAATATATATATACCCACCATGCTTTTAACGGCGACAATGCTGTTGTCGACCTGGTGCTTGCTCTTGGACATGATCTGGACGCCGAGATGAACGTCCTATCTCACAAGGCGATCTAACGAGTAACTTCGAATGAGTGCGTCAAGCATAGAGATATAAGAATAGAGGGAACAAGCCTGTAAGTGGAAGTG